ATATTTTAAAAAGTCATTCAGTGGTGCACACACCAAAAGGATGACCCTCCTCTTCCTGAGGATGATGAGAACAAAGAAAAGCAAACAGAATATATCCCTGTTTGGGACTAAGAATTCCTGAAACTTGACCAGGAACACTTTTTGAACTTCTGGCTGCAAACTACTTAGACATCAACAGTTTGCTTGATGCTCCATGCAAGACTGTTGCCCACATGATCAAGGGGAAAACTTGGAGATCTGCAAAAACTTCAATATCAAAAACAACTGAAGAGGAGGAAGCCCAGGTACTCAAAGAGAACCAGTGGTGTGAAGAGAAGTGAAATGCTGGACCTGACACTGTAATACTATAAGGATTGTTCCAAATACTAGTTGCACTTCTCTGTTTATAATTGTTAGTACTAGACAAACAGAAGAAATGCAGAAGCAAATCAGTTGTATTAGCATAAAACTGTCCTTACTGCATGTGTGGTTTGAGTACAGACTCCAAACCTATGGCTGAATTTCTTCTAGTGTGAGAGAAAGTTTCTTTCTTTCTTTATTCTGAATACAAGGGAACTGTGGGTTCTCTGTAGAAAGGGGCATTTTGGGCTTTCCCTCCTTTTGTAAAGCAATTTCTGCCTAGTTTATTGTCCAGTTAACTTGAGTGAGCTTTGAAAAGTTGGCAAAAGAATTTCTGAAATGGAATTAACAAAATATTATCTTTATTCATGAGTTGGAAACTGGAAAAAGGCTACTTGAAAGTAAATGTTCTGAGTTGGGGTTCTTAGGATGTCTTCCAGCCTCCTGGAGTCAATCAGTACCACTGGGATTGATTAGCCTGTATGTAGCAGGGCTTCCTTAATTGGACCAGAGAACTTGTTTTTTTTTTTCCAAGCAGGAACAAACTTTATTACCGAACTCACACGAACGCCACCCACACGGCCCTTCCAGGAAACTCCACCCCACCCGGAACTCTCGAACTTGGGTTTTTTTTTTTTTTTTTTTCTTGAATGTCAGCTTTGAATATGTTGCCTAGAGACTCAGTTATTACCCAGTTTGTGGATTTGGAGGGGAGAAATGTAACTAGACATTTGGATAGCTTTTCAATTAAAAAAAGACACTTAATTCATGGGGTCTGTCATCTTTTAAAAAACTATGTTCCCATATGGGGGAAACTCTTCATACTCTTTGCATGTAAAAAGTAACTTTAACATTGAAATATGTGGCAAAACCCAGAAAACATTCATCATGAGTGCAAGGTACTTTCAATAAAAAGTAAGTTATGTAATAGTAGTTTACAGATTTTATCCTTCCCTACTATGCTCCCCTTTTCTTTCCTAGTTATCATTATCTGTATTCATCTGTAATTTTATTGTATTTTCTTTACACTTCCTGTGAGTTGTTCTGGTGAAGGTTATCGTGATAGTAGCTTCTTCTCCCATTTGTCCCAAATTCATCTTGCCTAATAATATCCCATATGTAATCTCAAAAAAAAATTTTAAAAACTATGTAAACCAATGGTAGTCATTCCACCTTCGCTCTGCTCTGGAAGGCCTTGTTTGGGGTCGTCTATTGGCATATTTATTGTAGGTAATACACCCATGTGACCTCATAGCTTCCTGGGGCTATTTTGGAAATTCCTAAGCAATGCAAAAGTCTTGAAAGTGTCTTCTTTGCATCTTCATTCACACCTTGAAGCATCACAGAGAAGATAACTACTTTGTGGAGCCTGCATTCAGGGAACAATTTTCACAAAGGCAATACCTTAATTAGAAGCTTCACGGTTGATTTTTTCCTATTCATCCTACCACATAATAACACAGCCTTCCAAAACATCCTTCAAAGTCTTGATAGAGAGTCATAAATTATTTAAGTACTACACATTTCTGGCTGAAATTTAATTTGAATGTCTTTTTATTTATTTATTTATTTAGGTAGTGGATATTGAACTCATGGGATGTTTTAATCACTGAACCACACCCCAGCCCATTTTATTTCTTTTATATTCTATTAGAAATTTATGGTTATACACAGTAGTTGGTTTTGTCCCAGAGACTCATATATACATGGAAATTGATTTCAGTTCATGATCCTTCCTGTTTCCTCTCCCTTTTCCCTTCTGGGCTACCCTCTCCTTTTCTGTTTTTTATTTTGATAAAGGGTCAGGGTGTCGCTAAGTTGCTTAGGGCCTTGTTAAGTTGCTGAGTCTGGCTCTGATTGCAATCCTCCTGCCTCAGCCTCCTGGGTGGCTGGGATTATAGGCCTGAACCACCACCAGGCTGAATCTCTTACCTCTTTATCAGCACCAGGACCACACTCCCAAAAACATGTTCCCATTTCTCAAACCCAAAACACTTTTAAAGAGAGAAATGGCTTATATTTGAGAGATGAAATATTATTTACATTTAGTTAGATTGTCATGTTTATATGTTTTTCTACTCTGATTTTGCATTTACTTTTGAGTAAAGATTTTCTCTTTTGTAATGTTTTTAACCAGAAAGCATCATGAGATTCAGAGTTCTGAAGAGATTTTTCAGACCAAACAATGCATTTCACAAATCTGTGCAAGTTTTGGAGACTTGTGTCTTTTTCATAACCACTCAGCTTATATATTCTGATTTTCTTCATGCCTGGAATGTTTCTTAAAGAGTTAGGATGTTTAAAGAATAAGAGGTTGTGTTTTAATTTTTATTTTTTTTCCCATGGGAATCTTGGAAACCCCCACTACTAGATTTATATAAGCACTTAGTAACATGTGGCAATATACATCCATAGAATTGAAGACAAACTAAGACCCTCTAAAGATACGCTGTGGTTCAAAGGACACTGTTCCTATACTTCACCTTGGTATTCTCTACACTTCACAAGGAAGAAACAGCCTTTGCAACGGTGTTACTTCACCATCTTAGAAAGTTTAGGATCCCTATTGGAGGCACAGGTTACCCCAGGTCTCTTCATTCAACCTACCAGCCCACTAGCAGTACAGAAGAGGAAGTCAGTCCATCAGGCCTCCAAGTTCATAAGAAGACCTCCACCATCCCTGTGATCAGATCAGTCAGATCAAGCTGATCTACCCTTCCAACCTGGAACACTTACTTAAGGGGTGAGGACACACTCGGTCATCAGGGTTTGATAACTTCAACACTGTTCACATTTGGCTGGAAACTTCTTTGTTGTGGAGTGCTGTATATACTTTATTGGATGCTTAGCAGCATACCTGGCTTTAACCCATCAGGTACCATTAACACTCCCTGTAGTTGTGACAACTAAAAACAACTCTATAGACATTATGTACCTTAAAAGGCAAAATACCCTCCCCCTCTACCTTGTTGAGAACCTCTGCTCTAGTGAAGCATTGAACAATTACTATTATTATTATGAATGTTGTTGTTTATACCAAGGATTGAACCCAGGGCACTTCTCCACTGCCCACATCCCCAGCACTTTTTAAAAATATTTTATTTAGGGCCTTGCTAAATTGCTGAGCTGGCATTGAACTCACAATCCTCCTGCCTCAGCCTCCCCGACCACTAGGATTATGGGCGAGTGCTACCACATCTAACCACACTCATTTTAATAATGAGAACACCATGGCTGCTCTACAGAAGTATAATGCAAGATACTTACATTGTTTAAAATTTTCCAGTAACCACATTTTTTAAAGAGTATATATAATGATTTGAAAATATAATGATTATAAAATATAATGAAATGGTTATAAAAATATAATAATTATAAAAACATGATGAAGGGGATATTTTCATTCTCCATACCAAATTACTGAATCCAGTGCAGATTCATGCTCACACCATATCCCAATTTGGACCAACCACACTTGAAGTATTCATCTGCCACCTGTGGTCAGTATGTGCCAGGATGGACAGTACAGCCACATTCAGGGGCAGATGACAAAAGTTTCAAAGTCAGCAGCAACAAAGTAAGCTAACAAGTAGCAACCAGCACAGCCAGTGTCCAGATCCTGGTTTCTGCTACCATTCTCCACTGAAGGATGCAGAGCTCCACGGAGAAATGGATGACCCCGGGGCTGAGGCAGGACCTATGAGATGGGCCTCAGTTGTATCTTATTTAATGCACTCAGAAAGAAATAAGAAATATTTTCCTCCCTATTTTGCTGAAACTAGAGGAGCCTAGGATTTCAAGGAGAGCTCCTAGAATCCTTGAGTAAACACAGATGGGAGAACAACAGGCAGAGAAGCTCAAAGGTTATAACATGGGAATACATTCACAGTAAGTGAAATATTAGTCACGTAATATTCCAAATTCCCATCAGTTATCCAGATATTTTCTGGCTAGTGCTTAGAACAACCTTTCAGAATGTTTGGACCAGAATAAAGCAAATAAATAATTGCATTAACATTGTCAATGATTTTTGTTGTTATTGTGGTTTTTGTTGTCTTTTTCTGGTGCTGGAGCTTTACATTGGGTCTCACAATTGCTAAGCATGCACTCTGCCCCTGAGCTACAATCCCATCCTGTGCTAAGATTTAGTGCCAGTATTTTTAGATGGAAGGCTAACTATATGACTGTAATGATGTTCTTGGTCTGCAATAAGGAAATACCACTGACGGAGTGGCTTCAACTTCAGAAAGTCATTTCCCATAGTTCTGGTGGCTGGGAAGTCCAAGATCAAGGTGGGTTTCACCCTGTGCTTCCTCTATTGGCCTGCAGGTTTCTGCCCTCTGTGTGCTCAGAGGACCTCTTGTCTGTGCACACAGGAAGAAGAAGCAAGTTCTCTGGCATCTCTTCTTCTAAGGACACTATCCTATAGATCAGGGTCTTGCCCACATGGCCTCATTTAACCTGACTTAATTCCATGATGGCCCCATCTGCACACTGGGCACTAGGGCTGTCACATGCGAATGTGAGAGTGAGGACATACAAACATTCAGCTCACTATGCTATGAAAGAGAAGGAGGACAATCACAGTTTAAGGATGAGTCAATACTTTTATTCTTCCCTCCCTACTTATGTATAATGTGTCAAAATACACTCTACTGTCCTATACAACTAAAAATAACAAATGAAAAATTCTTAATAAAAATGGTAAAAAAAAAAAAAGATCGAATTAATACTTCAGTAGCTATGTTATACATTAGTAAGTAGAACTGAGATGAGAATTCGTCATTTCAAGGCTATTGATGTTGGGATGTGTCCACGTGAGTCTAACCCAGGACCAGAGGCATGCTTGGTAAGAACCTACCACGAAGTGACATCCCCAGAAGACTTGTAGATTTTAAAAGACTTTCTTTCCTATTCCTGTTCCTTAGGAGCTTATACACACCTGTAGAATCTGATTCTGTTCCATAATACAATCTCCTGTTGAAATCCAGAAAAAAAAAAAAAAGAGGTGTGTATGTGTGCTTTCTCTTGGTCTAAAATTTCTCTGAAAAAGGGCAACTGAAGTACCTTACATATCCATACCAGTGCTCTTTGTTCTGCCAAAATGCTTGAGATAATTCAGTGACTGAATTATCTCGGGAATCTTCCATGTCCTGAATCAATAGAGCAAAGACAAATTTCAAGAATTCAGGAAAAAATGCAAATGCAGTGGCTCACATTTCTAATCTCTCTCTCAATTGGCATAGTTCCTTAGAACCCTGAAGTTGTTCGGCTTTCATAAGCACCTCCAAGGACCCATGGGGGATGTTGCATGGTGGTTTTCTTCTAATGACCTTCATCACTTCTGGTAGGTATTGGGCGACTTCATCTGCATTGGGGATCACTCTGGTGAGCTCTTAGCTACTGGGATGAAAGAGGAGGGAGACCGCTAACATCCAAGTGGCTGGTCTGAAAATGGTTCAGAAAGTTCCAGAGAATTTCTGGACTTCCTTTTCCCTCTGAGTGACGGCTTTTGCCTTCCCATATAAGTCCCCATTTTCAGTGTGGAAATTCTGAGCTTCATCCACAGTGATGTGTTGAATGTCTTCAAAGTCCCTCTTCATGAATTTTTTCCGGGACACTGCCTCACAGATCCTTTTATTACTGTAACAAGAAAATGACACACTCAGGTTTTCTTCACTTTATAAAGGAGAAAAATCACTCTTTTGTGCTCCCCTGAATATGGTACCGTTGTCACAAATCATTTCACCATGTAATTCTCAAGCAACAAGTTGGCTTAGCAGAAAAATAATCCCTGATTAAATAACACATATAGGTATGAGATCCAGCTGCTTACCAGATGAAGTTCTTCAGAGGCTGGTTGTGAGAGGCCATCCTCGCACGTGATTTGAGTTACCTCCCTGGCTGGGTGAGAGGCACTTAGACACAGCTGTGTCTGAGCCTTCCCCACCCTGTCCCAGGTCTGAGGGCTTGTCAGTGCAGAGGCGTGCCTGGCCACTGCCCTGAAGACCAAATCTTGACCTTGGGATGCTGCCCCCCTTAACCTTCATTGGATGGGATTTTCCCTGGAATTTTTTGTTCCCCAATAAAAGCCCACTCCCTGGCGTGTTCTCCCTCTCTCGCTAGTCTCTTCTGTAAACCTCACCACCGCATTAGGTGGCTGGAGGGGCAGAAGCTAGGAGAAGCCATCTTGGAGCTGGTATTAAAGCTGGTATTAATGACAGTCTTGTCTCTTTAATTTTAAACTCCCTAGCAATTACTTATGAACCAAACCTTCTTTCACGAAGCCAGCACTGGTCGCGTGGCAGAGCTGGTTAGCAAATTTAAAATCTCACGGCCAAGCTCAAGACAGAAATGGAGCATCTCAAGACAATCCTGGGTTTCTGCAAGATAACAGGACCAGAGGAATTGTTCCTTCCATGCACTCTGCATGGCTCTCAGATCTCAGGTAGAAGACCCTGGTAATGACACAAACGTTTCCCGTTATTCTGCCCATGTTCACCAGCTTCTACTTCAGGGAAAGAGGAAGTGGGTGCAAGGAGACCTACCCTTCTGCATCCTGCTCCCGGAGGACAATGCAGAGGACGGAGATGCTGCTCAGTGGGATCAGCAGAGAATCCCAGATGACTCCCTGCTTGGCTTGCAAGTCCAGGTCCACAGCCCTGCTTCTAGAGAATTTCAGAATTCCCTGGGAGGAGGATGCATTTGCTGACTTTTTATCCGCTCCGGTCCTTCATGCCAAATTCCAGGAGAATTTGGCACGATATCAGGAATATCCTGGTGGTTCTAGAATGAAAACATCAGAGATTATAAAATGTGTTGGTATTGTTTTGTATCGGTCTCAGTTAACACTTCAAAAAAAGAATAAAGCTCCCGTAATACAACATAAGAGAATTTCCCTCTGGGTCACCTCTCCTCAATCTGTATCCTAAAAATCTGGTGAAAAGAATGATGTTGTTTTTCTATTATCTCATAGAGAGCACTTGTGCCAAATAAATGGAATTTGTTGAGCCCAAGGAAGTGAAAACCAGATATGCAATCACTCTTCAATCTCAGATCCTCGTTGCGGAATGTTTAAACACCTTTTTGTTAAGGACTAGAAAGATTTCAGGTAAATAAAATATTTTCTTGAAGGTGCAACTACAGGAGTCCTAATATTCTAATTACCTGACCCTTGACACAAGTTTGGATATACATAAGACATGCCTATGTCACATGCTGTCGCATCTCACACTGAAAAGGTTCAATATGTGAAGGTAAAAAACACATTTCCCTCCTCAAACATCTACACTTCCTTTTCTAAGTAACAATTCCTAGACAAAATCTAGGTGAAAAAAGTCAGGGGCAGGGGTGGGAAAGGTCATCTAACATTGCACCTGATCTTGAATGATTATATTGTAGTCCATCGGGACCTTGGTGATTTTTCCAAGAGAAATTACTCATGGTCTCTCCTTTCATATTCTATGAGCTGAATGTCTGTACTCTTTCTATAGGTGTATCTGCTATATACCTGAGAAGCTGAGAAGAGGAAGTCAATTAACCCACCATGTCCTCCAGTCTAACGCTCTCCCTACCGTGTCTAAATCAGTGGTTCCAACATGGGAAGAGCATCAGAATCCTTTGAGAAGCTTGCTTACGTGCACATGTTTAGGCCTCATAGCTGGAAGTCATATGTGGACAAGTTCTTGGTGGAGTAGGGACATCTACCTGTGTGTTTAACTACCTCCTCTACCATTTCTGACAATCAGCTGGGTTTTGCAAGCACAAAAATGGATGATTTCTAAAGGCAGCTGAAACTCATTCCCCAACAGGCTTGTGACATTGCCTCTTGATACACCTGGGTTGCAGTACAAAATTTTCATCAATTTATAAATCAATGTTTTAAACTATCTCCCTCTCTCCTAAAGTAAACTGGCAGCTAACACCTGGAAAGAAAATTGAAAATTGGCTTTCTGTTCTAGACCTTTCCTAGAAGACAGTAGTCTGCAACATGGAAGACACTGGGACAGACTCAGCTGAGATTCAAAAGTTTCAGACCACCCTGAAAGAAGAAAACATCTCAATTTAGGTGATTTCACCCCTCCTCACTAGAAGAGGCCAGACCAAGGTGTATCTCAATTTCACTTCCCCTGGTGTAATGCAGGCCAGCAGATGAGACGCATCAATCTTTCTTGACCCTACACCCAGGTCCCCAAAGATCCATCATGAAGAGACTTTCTTTTGAATCTCCAGTCCTATTGCCCCACTCAGTATAAAGCTCCCTCTTGTACCTTTGAAGTTCTTTGCTGGAACTGTACTATAACTTAAAGTGCTCTCCTAAAATTCTAATCACAGTGTGTTTTATGGCCTTGCATTTCCTCCAAGCCCTTTGGAAACACCCCTGACCCAGCATTGGCTCTTGCCTCCCAGAGTTGGTCTCCTGCTAGACTGAGGCACAAGCTAGTCATTATTCTGATGCTCCAGCCAACTCCAAGGAAAAGAAGCTAAGAAATGTAGAGTTCAACACGGGATCCCCCTCCGACATTTCCCTCTATTTCTTCTCTTGCGGAAAATCATCATTCACCAAATATTTTATTTGGCTTTTCCTCATCCTCCCAATAAAACTTGTCCATTTATGAGATCAAGGACATTTGGAGATAGCAAACTGCAGGAGGTAGGAGGAGCTCCAAGTCACAGAGACTAAAGGACCCAGAAGCCACAAAGAGGGAGAAAGGACAAGCAGGGTGGCGCTTTCTCCCTCGTACCTGGATCAGAGTCCATCCTCATTCCTCTCAGTCCTCAGGCTGCAGATGTCCTTCCTCTGAATCACCATTCATGAACTGGGAGGAGAAGAGCTCCAGTCTCATCTCAAAGACATAACCATGCAATTCCCGTGACAGACACTGGTGTTGGTGGGAGACCTTTTTCTCACTTCTCTCTTCTTGAGTATGAAATTACCTCAGGGTAATGATGAACCCTCAAGGGTCCAAAAGATAGTTGCATTTGCATAACGATTCTCAGCAGATTCACTGTATCCAAAAGAAATACTTCCGACAACGACACATACAAATGTGGACCACTCAGATTGGCAACTGTGTCCACATCAATTTTTTACTGCAGTCACCCGAATTCGATGAAGGATAACCCAAATCTACTGATGAGCCTGATCAAAACCAGGAGAGTCACCGCTGCCTCTAAAACCACCCAAGAACTGGAATCTTTATAATTTTATCCTTCCAATCCCAGATCTACCAGAAAGACTTTCACTTATGGAGGGAGTTTCGCCATTTTTATCTATACGCACAATAATTCTGTAGAAAGTCAACACAACGCTATGGTAATGTACTTTCATGGAGTCCAATTTGCAAAAGTGCAGAAACAAAATTGGACTCTCTAAAAGTCATTACACATCTATATTTCCAGTACTGGAAATGATATGAAGAGAAAATGCTCAAACATAGAAAAAAAAGATTAATTAAACTCATCGTATGACTGTGCATTAAAGGGATACATTGCATGCACGACTGTACTCCAACTCCATAAAATCTGGTTGAACCTCAGGCCTCCAGCTCATTAACGATAGATGATAGATAGATAGATAGATAGATAGATAGATAGATAGATAGATAGATAGTTGGGGGTGTACCGGCCATTAAACTCAGGGGCACTCAACTACTGTGCCACATCCCCAGCCCTATTTTGTATTTAGAGACAGGGTCTCACTGAGTTGCTTAGCGCCTCGCTTTTGCTGAGGCTGGCTTTGAACTCACGATCCTCCTGCCTCAGCCTCCCAAGTCACTGGGATAACAGGTGGGTGTCAGCGAGCCTGGTTTACTGTGAAGCACTGACTGCCATGAATGGCTGCTTTTGAGCTTTAGGACTTGGCTCTCCTGAGAGAACACATTGACGTCCATTTCCTTCATGGCACTGCTCCTTTCAAAACTGTTGCATGTTCGATAAATACTGACGCAAGCAATTCCTATGAAATATTCGCAACCTCCGTGCTGTGTTTTGGGGACGTGGAAACCTATCCCACATGCGTTCCCATACAGACCAAGGATTGCAGGAACAATACAGTGACCGGAACAGTAACATGCATAGCGTCTTCTTATCATACGGTGCTGGTGTCCATATTACACAAGTCAGTAACCTCTCTGGCTCCTTCAGGCAAACATGACTTGAACTCAACATAAGCTCCTGGAGTTTCATCATCAGGAGGGAACGTCAGTGCACACCATGACACATTTACATTGAAGTTGTAACTGTTGCCTTGACACACCGCCTTGACCCGTGGCCAGTCACTTCCCCAGAATTCAGCTTCCTGTCCCTCTAAATGACCTCTTTTTTTTAAGGGATTTGTGGTTTTGGGAATTGGAACTTTTTAGAATTTCACCATTGGAGATTTGAGCCTTTGGGGATTATGATTTGGGAGATTTTAGAATTCAAGTGTTCCAGACTCGGCATTTTGATCTTTTGGGATTTAAACATTTGCAATGATGGAGTTTGGGATTACGTCTTTCAGGATAATGACCAGCACAGGTCATTATCTTTTACATTCAAACGACAACGTGGCTTGTAAATTTGGTCTGTGTAATGTTTACTTCTTCTCAGAATTCTGAGGACCTTGCTCCTCTCCTCTCAACTGCGCCTTGCGGGGCTCCCAGCTCTATTCTCTGTTCCAAGGTCCCACTGAGCCTCCTGGACGTGGACTCAGAACACCGCAGCCAGGATGTATCTGGCTCCACTGGATTCAGGGCAGTCCCTAGCTCATCTTTGATGAGGGAGAAACGCCAAACCCTGGTGCTCCTCTTCTTATGGAAACTCTCCATATCGGTGAGGGTTTCTACTTCCTTCAGCTGCTTTCCCCCAGAGATGAGTGAGAGAGCTTTTGTAGGATTTCATCCACTCACATTCTTTATTCAGAACCATTTGTAGAAAAATAACTTTTCGGGTGAGTATTTAAGGGTGCTACGAGAGTGATCAGGAAAGTTTCGACTCCTCCAAGTGAGCAGAGGTAAAGTAGTCCAAGAAGACCTAAAGAATTCCTGGGGTCTTTCTTTGGGGGAGATGACATTTCCCTTCTTTTTCATTCCCACTGGGGAAATTATGACTTTCATCAACAATGATATTTTCCAAGTTACAAAGTTCTATGAGTAGGTCCTGGACAGTTCTCATTCTTGTTAAGGGACAGCAGTCTGTCCTGATCCAAAAATGGAACAAAGTCTATCCATGAACCAGGAACCGAGTAAATAACCATCGTGCACAGAATAGTGAACTGATTAAGTTTCCTAATCACCCTTAAGCATAATCTTTTTACATATGTAAAAATCTTTTTACATATGTTCCGAGTCTGGAACACTTGAATTCTAAAATCTCCCAAATCATAATCCCCAAAGGCTCAGGAAGAAGTAAACACAGGCTACATTTATTTTTCCAATTAGGTGAAGTTGCTTCACTTGCAGCATTTTTGGAGATCATTTTTCAGACTTGGAGATCATCATCCTCTTTATGATGAAAAATTTCTCAGTAGCCCAGTGCACCTTCTATGATTTGGATGAGGCCTTGACACCATTTAAACCTCCTCAGGGAATTTTCCTATAAGTGATCTATATTAATTGAAAATCTCAGAGGCCCACTGCTCACTCACAGACCCGAGTTTCTTTAAGACCATAAAAAGAGCATTCAGCTGGTCTATCATGGTTTCGAATGTTGCAACGTAGTAGGACGCAGGATAAAATGCTTTCTCACTTGAATCATAAAAGGCAATTATTTTTCCCTTAGGGCTCAAGCAGAATATCTTCGTCATGATACATATTTTCTCAGTATAATTACCAAGTTTTGCAAGCATCTGCTTTAAACTTCGGGCAGTTTGGGAAGAATACCCCTTTATCTTCTCATCTAATTCCCTGTGGAGAGTGGAACCATTTTCTAATTCCTCTTCCATCCTGAGGAAGGTGTACAGGACCGGTGGATTGTCCTTGGAAATCAGAAGTGCATCACAGATGACTTCCTCGTTCTTTGGCAAGTGCAGATCCACAGACCAGCTCCTAGAGAAGATCAGTATGCCTTGACCAATGGAGCCCGTCTCCTTCTGTACTAACTGTTCAAGTGCTTCCTCTTGCGAGAACAGTTCCCTGCAGAGGGCTTCTGGAATACATCTCATCTTCTCTGTGAGCACTGGATATGGGGAAAATGATAACAAAGCATAAAAAAGAAAAAAATTGAGAACATGCCATGGAAACTGTGACTACTGTAGCACCAACCCTCCCACCCGAAACAGCTACGAAGGCTGTACAAAATAGAGCCAACTGTGGCGTCCAGTACTGGAGGGCAAGTGGGACAAGCAGGGCGACAAGGCCAACATGTGTGATAGGAGCACAGGAAGCCGCTGCACACTCCAGCCTGCTTCTCCCTCAGATATTTCCGTGTCGTGGTGTGGGTCCCCAGAGCCCAGACAGCAGTCAACAGGCCACTGGGATGAGGAGAAAGGAAGGGGTCCAAATTTCAAGGCTGCCGGAGGGGCTAGAACTTGAGAAAGAAAAATCCCAGAGAAGTTGAAACTGCAGAGGAGGAGCCTAAGTCAATTTACAAATTCCCCTCAACTCACTGACTGATCCAGGATGAGAAGCTGGGAACACAGAAGAAAGTAGAAACTAGAGGCTTGAAAAACTAAACTAAAAATGCCAATAGCCTTGTAGGACTACAAGCAGAACCACAGCAAGAATTCATGATGTCCCAGCAAACAGGAGGCCCTTGGTGAACACCCTGACATAAGTTCAGACTCCATAAGTCATAACCTAGTAGTAAGAGGAAAATCTTAGCTAGAAAAGCATAAAACTAAACTTTAATTTTATCTGGATCGCATCTACCTGCCAGAAAAAAAGCGGAACCCTCCAGGGAGGACCTGATCATATTCCAAAGGTTCTCTAATTCATAATCTCTGATACATGAGAAGTTAGGAGACATAATAAAATAGGACAAATTAGAGAGAGAGAGAGAAAGAGAGAAAGAGAGAGAGAGAGGAAACACATAACAGGAAAAGACTGGTAACTTCTTCAGACATAGTTACCAAAGAGTGAGTTTAAAAATCACTATAATTAACATTTACCCAAGAAATGAAGAAATGATAAAAAAAAATATGAAGATGTCCTGATTTTCTGTCAGGATCATAAATTTGAAATTAATGGGTAAAGATTATGCTGATATTCTGTAACTTAAAAAGATAGTATCTGATGTTAAGATTGATATTGCTCCCTGTAACAGACAAACAGCAGAAAACACAATGAAGACGACCAAGTAGGAAAAAAAAAAAACTGAAGCTGTCTGCAGTCTGTAATACCTGGGACAACAAGGGGATTGATTCTCTAATCTGTAAGATATTCCAACAAAGCAAAGAGAAAAAGACAAAAGTCAAATTGAAATATGGGCAAAGGACAGAACAGGCACTCCAAAAACTGTGAAGCAATTCAACTAATAAGTATATTAAGATATGATCAACCAAATTATTAAGTATAAAAGTGCATACCACAAAGATAGCACCTCGTACCCATATATCCCATCTTGTACCTTCTGGACTGGGCAGACAGAGAGGAGAAGAGAGCCAGAAAGATGAAGAAAAATCTGACAATTGGAGGAAAAGTGGAATGTCTAAGATGGTCCCCAGGGGAGTCAAATGACCTGTCTAACTGGGAAAGTATCAGCAGTATCTTGTTACTTGAATGTTCTCACACCTCCTCAACCAGCAATTCAACCACTACGTGTGTCCTAAGACAAACTTCCACACATGCACCAGAAGACTGAAAAAGAATGTTGAAGGTGACATAAAGCAGGAACCAGGAAAGTTCTGTTGGTAAAGCAGAAACCAGGAAATAAATCAGTTACCCATCATCAACAACAGAAACAAATAAATGAGAGATGTGGGGGGCTGTTGGCTTTTCTTCAGCAACTGAATATAGCCCTGTTGGAAGCCTGATCTCAAGCTAGACTTCCCGGAGACGTGATATCTAGGCTGTGTATTTTGCTTCAACTAAACTGAGTTGGTTTTCTCTTACTTTCACATAAAGGATCTCCAATTGCACCAAAAAAAAAAAAAGAGCCTATTCAGATTCTGAAGAATTTCAGGATACAAAATCAGCATACAAAACCCACTACACAGAATGACGAAAACACCAAGGTATTTTGATAGACACAAGTATCTGGTTCCATAACACATTTTAAGACAGAGCTGACTTGCATTATGCAGGCTTGAATACCACCAGATCAAGACAAGCCAAAATTAAACTACTCAGAAGGTGGCATCTCTGCTGCTGATTCTCCAAACTCATATTCATAAACAGGGCGACTACAGGGAATAATTAATGTTGACATACCTGGCGGAAGAGACACTTCTTTAGATAAGCTGG